TTGATAAAGACAATGCACCCAGAGATAGTCGACGACGCTTAAATTCGATAGAAACAATATCATCAACTTGACATTCCTGCACAAACTTGTTAGTTGCAATGAACATGGATATGAAATTATAAAGCTAAATAACGCGAGAAACGCAAAAAGAGGTGGTATCTTAAAGTAAAAAATTAGGGTGTGACAGGACACAACGACGAAAGATGCCATCGGTGCCTCTCTTGAAAAGAAGGGGCTCATGCTCATCTCAATAATAATGTTTTAAATCGTGGAAAAACTTTTTCTTCTGTTGGTAAGTTAATTCAAGTGGAAGCACTCTGGCTGCTAGGTAGCTGACAAAGTTAGCGTACCAAGGCACTGCAGGTTATTAAAGACTGCTTCCACGACTTCTTTATTTTCAATGTCAGGATTAATTTGAGAACATTCAGTTGTGTCAGTTAATTTATTTTCTAACTGGGCTACAAGTCAGTCATAGGGGAGTCATCATTGATGGGAACTTGTTCGGCTTTTATATTCTCAAGTCTGGAAAGGTGATCGGCTACAACATTTTCAGTGCCCTTTTTATCTTTGATCTCAAAATTGAATTCTTGTAGTAGCAAGATCCATCTTAAGAGTCCAGTTTGGCGTCCTTTTTACTTAATAGGTACCTAATAGCGGCGTGATCAGTATAAATAATTATTTTAGCTCATACCAAGTAAGAACGAAATTTATCTAATGCGAACACGATGACTATGAGTTCCTTTTCTGTCGTGGCGTAGTTCATTTGTGCTTCATCCAAGGTTCTTCTTGAATAATAAATCACACGAAGCTTCTTATCTTTTCATTGTCCTAAGACTACGCCTACGACATAGTCACTAGCGTCACACATCATCTCAAAGGGCCTGCTCCAATCAGGTAGCATAGTAGATGCAGAAATCAGAGCATGTTTTAATAGTTGGAACACCTCTAAGCATTTTTCATCAAAGATGAATTCAACGCTTTTCATTAACAGGTCAGTTAGTGGTTTGGTTATTTTAGATAAATCTTAAATGAATCGTCGGTAAAAACCGACATGTCCTAAGAAACCACGTATTTCCCTAATGGCTTTCAGATGTTGAAGATTTTCTATAACTTCTATTTTGACTTTATCGACTTCAATCCCTTTGTCGGACACTATATGTCCAAGTATGATTCCTTGTTGAATCATGAAATGTCATTTTTCCCAATTGAGTATGAGGTTAACTGTTACATATCTTTTAAGTACCATTTCTAGGTTCGCTAGACACCCTTCAAAACTCTGCCCGCAAACTGAAAAATCATCCATAAATACTTCCATGATGTCGTCCATAAAATCTGCGAAGATAGCCATCATGCATCTTTGAAATATTACAGGAGCGTTACATAGTCCAAACGACATTCATCGATAGGTGTATGTGCCATAAGGACATGTGAATATGGTCTTATCTTGGTTATAAATATGAATAGGAATTTGGAAGCAACCTGAGTAATTGTCTAAATAACATAAATGAGAATGTTTGGCCAATCGTTCGAGCATCTGGTCGATAAAAGGTAAGGGAAAATGATCTTTATGATGGTCTTATTTAATTTTCTATAGTCAATGCACATCCTCCATCCAGTTTCAACATGTTTTGCTACAGCTTCTCCTTTCTCATTTTTGACAACCGTAACACCTCGTTTCTTGGGTATGACATGTACTGGGTTGACCCAGTTACTATCAGATATCGGGTATACAATTCATGCTTATAATGGCTTTTGTACCTCTCTCTTGACCACATCTCTCATTATAGGGTTAATTCTCCTCTAGTGTTCTCTGGAGGTTTTAAAGTCCTCCTCTAGCATAATGTGATGCATGCACATAGAGGGACTAATTCCTTTTAGGTATGAGATGTTATAGCCTAGAGCTGAAGGGTATTTCCTTAAGACATGTAATAAATTCTCAGTTTCTATCTGTCCTAAGTCTGCGTTGACTATTAGTGGGCATTCAAGCTTTTCATCAAGGAATTCATACCTTATATTTTTTTGTAGTATTTTAATTTCTATACAAGGTTTCTTTGGGAAAGGCATAGGATCTGGAGTAAGTTCAAGACATTCATTTATACTGTCATCCACATATGTCTTTCGCAATTCATCATCTTCAAACATAGGAGGTGTTGTAATCTTTAGTACTTCAGTATACTCAGATGGTTCCATCTCCATTTCTCTTACGTATTCGTTGATGATGTCTAAGAAAAAACAAGAATCATTTATAGTTGGTGCCTTTAGGAATTGTTACAAAATAAATTCAACTTTCTCTTCACCAGCCTCAAAGGTTAACTTTCCTTTCTTCACATCTATGATGGCGTTAACAGTGGACAAAAAAGGGTCTTCCTAAAATGATTGGAATGTTGGAATCCTCATTTATGTCCATAATTATAAAGTCAGTGGGAATGTAGAATTAACCAATTCATACGAGAACATTCTCTAGCATACCTACGGGAAATTTAACTGAATGGTCAGCTAGTTGGAGAGACATTCTCGTTGGCCTTACTTCTCCTAATTTTAGGTTTTCACAGATGGAAAGGGGCATTAAAATAACATTGGATCCTAAGTCGCAAAGTTCTTCGTCTATGAAAAACTTCCCAATTACACATGGTATGGAAAAACTACCTAGGTCTTTTAACTTTGGAGGCATGCTATTTTGAATTATAGCACTACACTTTGCAGTTAGCGTCACTGTCTCATTATCCTCAAGATTTTTCTTATTAGATAGGATTTCCTTAAGGAACTTAGCATATGAAGGCATTTGTGTAATGACTTCTGTGAAAGGTATTGTAATGTTCAGCTGTTTCAGAAGCTCTATAAATTTCTTAAATTATTATTCGTTTTTAGACTTAACAAGTCTTTGAGGATAAGGAATGGGTGGTTCATACGGTGATGGAGGCACGCATGGTTTTTCTTTCTCTACTGCCTCTTTGTTTTTGTCTTCCTGCCCATTGTTAGTTGGTTTTTCTGGTTTGTCATCGTTTGTTTCCTTTTTACCTTTCAAATAAAAAAAAAGAATGAAGAAAAATCCCGTTAAGTTGAACACCTCAAAGAGACGACTTAGGAAAAAAGTCAGGGCAATCTTGGTGGACTAAAAGCTTAAAAAAACGGTCCAGGCAAAAATTAGGGAAAAAAGCAAAAAAGGTCAATAAGTTCTCAAGCAAATTGCAAAACAAGATCCAGTGACCACCATGTCAAAAATCAAAGGGTCGCTGACATCCACGACAAAAGCGAAAACAATGTGACTACCATTTCAACAAAATCTTGAATCATTATTTTCACTCTCACATCGTCGAGCTCTCTTCGAAGATGAATGTGTGTGTCAATTTAACAGAACGTAGGACTGGAGATCATCACGAAAAAGGGGTGGGTTAAAATCAAATTTTGAGCCTTATATCATTTGTTTCAACTAACTGTGAACCAAACCATGTTACAACCCTTAAAAGACCTAAATCAAGCTTAGATATCAATTATGTTTTTGGATTCAATTTAGACAAGCCCAAATAAATATTTTCTCTTCATATATATACTCAACTTTTATTTCTTTCTTACTTTTTTGCTCAAGTAAATAATATGGTGATCATTCAATTAACACACAACAATTATTTTACCGTTGATTTACAAAATTTCTGGATAAATCAAAGTCAAAATTCAAATACCCACTTTTAAAATCCTTAAATGTGACAACTAAGCTTATGTCAATACGAGATATTTTAAAATAACTGATTTCATATTGATACATATATCAATTCAAAAATTCTAGAGAACACACACATATATATATATATATATATATATATATATATATATATATATATATATATATATATATATATATATATATATATATATATATATATATATATATTTATTTATTTATATTAGAGTAGTTCTAAAATTTGTGTAATCAACTTGCTTTTTATTAAAGTTGTAGACTTTTTACTCATACTATTAAAAAATATTAAAGAATACTTTATATATATATATATATATATATATATATATATATATATATATATATATATATATATATATATATATATATATATATATATATATATATATATATATATATATATATATATATATATATATATATATATATATATATATATATATATATATATATATATATATATATATATATATATATATATATATATATATATATATATATATATATATATATATATATATATATATATTACAATCTCAAATATGATATTATAACCATTATTATTACAATATTGTCAAAATTTTTTTAAAAAAATTATTATTGTAAAAAATGTGTACTTTTTGTTTGTGGTATATCGTTTATAACATCTTTAATGCAGGTTTTTAATAGTTAAATTTTTTATAGTTAACGATTATTATAAAGAATTTGCATTAGAATGACTATGACATGACATTTAATTCACTAACTTTTAGTTTCTGGCAATCATATAGCTAATGTATGCTATTTATTTTGAAACATATAATATTATTATTTATATTATTAAAGTTTTGTAATTTTTTTGAAAACAACGGTCATTAAAGTAAAAACAACTCAAATCCACTATAAAATATAGGGTCAAGTTTTAATTTTTTTATAAGCAACTATCATTAAAGTAAAAACAATTCAAATCAACTATAAATTTTTTAAATCCTACAAATCACTTTAGGCCCATAAAAAATATCTTAGTTTATCCATTTAAGATACTCCCACTAAATATATTGTATAGATCATTTATTAAATTGCGGAGGACTATCTAAGACAAGAAAACTCTCTTTAAAAATTACATTTTCAAGACTAATTTCTAGATATAATACTATTACATTAACTTAATTGGGTTTAAAGCGAAAATCTTCTAGTTAAATTGTAATATTATATGCTTACATTCATTGTTTCTTGTCTTAAAAACTTGATATGAATATAATAAAAAAATACATAATTTTCATCTATAAAAACAACCCCTCACTCTTTATTCCTCAAATACATAATGAGTTCTACAAACCCAAATGATGAAGGCAATAGTTCATCTCCCCCAACCCAAATCGAAAACACATTCCAGCTAAACCCAAATGCACAAGAGTGGACTCGAGGAAAGCAAGAGGATAGGTGTCTCTTCCTAACACTTTCAAAACACAACACATCAACCACCACAAGAGATATACATACCTACTTTAACAAGTTTGTTCCTTTTTTTCTTCTCCATTTGGATAAATTTACTATTATATATACTTTATGATCTACTAATTGTGTATATGTTTGAACTTAATTTCATGTAACCCTAGCAATTAATTCACAGGTTATTTTTCTGATTTCTTATGATTTTTTTTTCCAGCACATATGGTGACTGCGTGCAATCAATTGTGATGTTTGGAGGTGAAGATTCACCACTTTGTGCTAAAGTGCTTTTCAAGTCTTCAATGATACCAATGATGATTTTGAGCAATTCAAATGAAGTTTATATACTCATTAAAGGCCAAACACTGTTGTGCAAGAAGTATGCTACGAAGAAGAAAAAACTCCATAAAAAATCCATCCAGAAAATGGAATAAATATTTAAGAAATACATGAAGATGGAAAAATAATTAATAATAGTGACATCAATGAGAGTTTTAAAATTGTTCTCTATATAGACCAGGGTTCAGGGTTTGATCTACCTAGTTATATATCTTTTAATATTGTGATGTTCTTATAAATGTATTTCAGACTTTTCCTTCAAGGATATTTGAATTGGAATATCTCTTTTAATTATATCCCTATTTACCAATTAAATCATTTGATGCCTTTAATTTTATTCAAAGTTACATTATTTTTTATGTAAAAAGGAAAAAAAAAATACATATATTTTCTTTAAATTATGAATTTATTCTTCATCTTCTTTTTTTATGTCTAAACCAATTATTTAAAAAAATGGAATACAAAAAAAACTAGTGAAAGAAAAAGTGTTAACAGAATTTTCCAAATTAAATTTTTACCATTAAGTTAGTCTTTGTTTTAGAAATCATTTATGTAAAAAAACTCTACAAAAAGTTTTTTTTAATCGAAAATGTATATTAAATAAGAGAAAATAATAGATGCTTACAAGAAATGGAAAAAAATATTAAAAAAAAAATAGTAAAAAAATAAAAACAACCAACATAAAGGTATACACAACTACCTAGAGCCTCACCAGGTCAACAAAAATATTATAAAATATAAGAATCCTCTACAATAAATCTTGAGTAAATTACACTTTATTCAATTAAAAAATATGTATTATATTTTCTTGACCAAAAAAAAATCTTATACTATTTTAATATAAATAATACTTTGGGATAGCGTTTAATTTAAAGTCATCATTTTATAAATCAAATTTCTTTTATGACTTTCAGTGACTAATTTTGAACAATTTATTACTAGTTTATTAGTTTTATAATATAAAATTCAATTTTAAATAGTTTTTGGTATTGAATTTAGTCCATAATTTGTCAAAGAAAATTATTTATTAGTTTTATAATATAAAATTCAATTTTAAATAGTTTTTGGTATTGAATTTAGTCCATAATTTGTCAAAGAAAATATTTAATCTTGTATTGTATTTTTATTATTTTATAGATTTTAAATATATATGTTAAAGATATTTATTGTATTTTTTTATTGAATATATATATATATATATATATATATATATATATATATATATATATATATATATATATATATATATATATATATATATATATATATATATATATATATATATATATATATATATATATATATATATATATATATATATATATATATATATATATATATATATATATATATATATATATATATATATATATATATATATATATATATATATATATATATATATATATATATATATATATATATATATATATATATATATATATATATATATATATATATATATATATATATATATATATATATATATATATATATATATATATATATATATATATATACTCAGATAGAAAAATGTCAACAAACTTAGATAAACTTAAAATAAGAAGCACATGATAAATGTTAGACATAAATTATACCAAAAATAATTATACCAAAAATAAAAAGCACATGATAAATGTTAGACATAAATTATACCAAAAAGAAAAGTTTTAAAAACGGTATTATTACAAAATATATTTATGATAATACAATATTATTACGACAATTTTGTCAATCGTAATAATATTTTATTTTTAACGCGTATGTTTTTATTTTGTTTTAGTAAAACACTTTTCATTACGGTTTTAATAACAACTGTAGTTATAGAATATGGGTAACAAGATTTGAATTCTACCATCAATATTTTTTCATTTTTTCAATAAAAATAAGTGTATGTCCTTTTATGTTTATTGTTATATAAAAATTGAAAGTAGAATAACTACGGTTGTTTCAATTAACCGTGGTTTTATTTTCTATATTTCACTACGGTTCTTGTTTGCAATTGTTGTGAAATTATTTTCTACAAAATTAAAATATAACATGTTCTTTATTTCGTTTATAACACACAAGGGTGTCCTAGCGAACGAGATGACATCGATAACTAAATCTTCACCATCTTCATTCATTTCTTAAAACAAATATTATTTCTTGATCTCTTCTTCCTCTACGAAATACACTACATTACCGTTCTGTGTTCATTGTTCATTTTTTGACCTCTCTTGCATGTTGTGGTATAGTTTTCCTTTATATAGTGTGGATTTTCATTTTGTTACAACTTGATTACTTTGTGTTTTGGATTTATTCAAATTTTGTAATGTTTTCATTGTTTCAAAGCTATGTGTTGTTGTCATGTGTCCTGTTCTGGCATTGTGATATTTTTGTTGTGATGTTTTTGTTATTTTCGTTTTGGTATTATAGCTATATTGCACATAAAGAAATAAATATGGTTATGAATATGCTTTAGGTTTTGGTGTTATATTGTCGTGATGGGTATGCATATGCATATAACCATATTAGTATGTTGTGTCTGTAGCATTAACGTGCCATTCACATTAGTATTTTGATATAAATTTCAAAATTTGTTAAGGACCGTAGTTGGATGAAAACTGATAGATTAGGTCCGGTGTATGAGAAATGAGTTCTTGAGTTTCTGGAATAATTCACATATATTTCACATATTCAAACTTCTGACTCCACTCAACTTCAACCATTAATCCTGCTCTTTTTACCCTTTTAACAATCCATAACTAAGAGAAAAGTTTATAAAGAACTCTTTCATATGGTATGAGGAAAGTTATTTCCGGGTGAGAGGTCAATATCATTTTCATTGGGAAGTTAAAATAGTAAGAGTAAGATTAATTTTAATGTTGTGGATAAGGAAGTACAAAAGATGCTTGTCATTTGAAGTAAGTGTTTTTAGTTGTTTCTCTCTTGGACGAAGATTTGACACTAGAAGTTGATGTCAAACTTTTGCAATTGGGATGAGAGTAATAGGATTGATGAATTGTTGAATCTATAATGTTAAACACAACTACCTTTCTCTCCATACTTTATTGTTTGAGCAATAAATGATGGAGTAATGGTGATAAGAAAGCCATATACATTGGATCGTATTGACTTAGCATCCTCACCAAATTTTCTAATAAAGATATTTAACCAGAACTCTGTTACGAGATTAGTATAGATGAGTCCATGAAATATGTCAAAGTAACCTTTCAACTTATGTTTCGAAATAGTTTTCATTAGATCAAAATCTTGGTCTTTCAACTCATCGAAATCAACAAATTTTTCATTGATAATGAACAAAATATTTTCATCTCCGTTGAAGTTTTCGTAGATATTTTGAATAAAAAGAAAAGAATTTTAAGCTAGATTTATAGACAAAGAGATGGAAATGAAATGAGACCTGAATAGTGTATAAATTAATTGAAAAAAAGGAAGTGAAACAATTAGAGAAGCTCAAACGCCTCCTTAAAAATCCAAAAGTTACGTTACATTTTGAATATGGATTGTTAAGAGAAATTATAGGATTATAGGAATATTATTTGATATAGAGTAATTATAGGAGATTACAGTTTTATTATAGATTTATTATAGCATTAATCATAGGAGATTTACCTACCTAAATAAACTAATACTGATTTGTATAAATCCCAAAATTGTATTCTTGTAAAGACACAAAATATGGAATACATACTTTTCCAATTCCACTTTATGCTACTCTGTTAACATGGTACACAGAGCATAGGTCATCGATCCCTATTTTTTTTTAATATTCCTATAATCCTATAATTTCTCTTAACATGGATGATCATTACTATTCTAGTGATATGATTCCAAGGCGTGATATTTTAAAATTTTAAATATAAAAACAACATATTACCTCGGTTTTTTCATATAACCGAGAGGAAAAACCACGAACCAACAATCCATGAATCTTTCTCTTTTATAATATTTTATATTCATGAATATTCTTTGTAACCAGTGAAATGTAAAAAAAAATCAAAGGTTATTTACCTTGGTTTTCTGTTAAAATGAGAGTTAAAGTATTTTACCTAAATTAAACATAAAAAACCATTAGTGATTCTGTTAATCAAATATATGTCGTTCATTTCATGGCATATCAACGCTCAAGACACCCCCATTAGTGATCCGTGTGAAACATAAAAAAAACTTCAATTATAAAAACATATTTCTAAATATGAAGAAGCAAGTGAAGTATCATGAAGTTCTTGAAACTATCTACATCCACCTCTTTAAGGTTTGCAAGATCATTTGCCATGAAAGAATAGAACATTATTTGGATTTAACGTTTATGTTCTTAAATATTTATTTGAGCAAAAATCATTTATTTATCTAATTTTTTTATCAACCATTTTTTTTGTTTTATATCAGAAACAAATCCATGCGAGATAAATCCTTTGAGAATATAGTCGAACCCAACATTTGATCTTTCCCAAATATCAAGAATTCGAAGATCTAACATATGATCTTCACGGATTAATTAATTTTTATTTTAATATTCTGTGTAAACAATATAATATTATGGGTAAATATTTTAGTTTTTAAATAAATTATTTTATTAATATTCTGTGAAAATAATGTAACGAGTTTTAATTAAAAAACAATCTATCTTACCTCTCAGTTTTGTGGGTAAACCGAGAGGCATGAGGCATTGTTTTTGTAAATAATAAAAATACAAATGTTGGGGTTCGAACCCATGATCAAATAACTTTACCCCTCTGGTTTTTCATTAGCCGAGGTGTTAAGTGGTATCTTTTCATGTCACCCTTCGTTACGCTGCCTTGGTAGCCGATGTTACATCTCTTTCACGTGAGATGTTAAAAGTGTTATTTATAGTAGTGATGATCTCTGATATTAGAGAGTCTCTTATATTAAAGCCCATATATAACGATTGCATCTTATACAGGAAAAAGTATGAAATTTGGATCAATGTCTGAAATATGTTGAGTCGCGCTACAAGTTGAAGGACAACAATGAGGATGCCAATGACAATGTTAGTAAGAAACATCCTCCTAGTAAAGTGTTATGGTACTTGCCAATAATTTCAAGGTTCAAGAGACTTTTTGCTAAT